AGGATCCCCTGGTTTTTGGGGTTCCCATATTTTTGGGGTTCCCATTTTTGAGGTTCCCCACTTTTAGGATTCCCTGTTTTTGGGCTCACCTGGTTTTTGGGGTTCCCCACTTTCCGGGTTCCCATGTTTTTGGGGTTCCCATTTTTGAGGTTCCCCACTTTCAGGGTTCTCTTGGTTTTTGGGGTTCCCCACTTTTAGGATGCCCAGTTTTTGAGGTTCCCCTGGTTTTTGAGGTTCCCCACTTTTAGGGTTCCTCTGGTTTTTGGGGTTCCCAATTTTTTGGGGATCCCCACTTTTAAGATTCTCAGTTTTCGGGGTTCCTCTGGTATTTGGGGATGCCCAGTTTTTGTGGTGCCCTGGTTTTTGGGGTCCCCCCCGGTTTTTGGGGTGTCTCACCTGTGCCGCCATGCCCTGGTTTTGGGGTTCCCCCCGGTTTTTGGGGTTCCCGTTTTTGGGGTCCCCCCCTGTTTTTGGGGTGTCTCACCTGTGCTGCCATGCCCTGGTTTATTTTTGGGGTCCCCCCCCTGTTTTTGGGGTGTCTCACCTGTGCGGCCATGCCCTGGTTTTGGGGTTCCCATTTTTGGGGTGTCTCACCTGTGCTGCCATGCCCTGGTTTATTTTTGGGGTTCCCATTTTTGGGGTCCCCCCATATTTTTGGGGTGTCTCACCTGTGCGGCCATGCCCTGGTTTATTTTTGGGGTCCCCCCGCTGTTTTTGGGGTGTCTCACCTGTGCCGCCATGCCCTGGTTTGTTTTTGGGGTCCCCCCCGGTTTTTGGGGTGTCTCACCTGTGCGGCCATGCCCTGGTTTATTTTTGGGGTTCCCATTTTTGGGGTCCCCCCCGTTTTTGGGGTTCCCATTTTTGGGGTCCCCCCCTGTTTTTGGGGTGTCTCACCTGTGCGGCCATGCCCTGGTTTGTTTTTGGGGTTCCCCCCATGTTTTTGGGGTGTCTCACCTGTGCGGCCATGCCCTGGTTTTGGGGTTCCCCCCATGTTTTTGGGGTCCCCCCGCTGTTTTTGGGGTGTCTCACCTGTGCGGCCATGCCCTGGTTTATTTTTGGGGTTCCCCCTGGTTTTGGGGTCCCCCGGTTTTTGGGGTCCCCCCGGTTTTTGGGGTGTCTCACATGTGCCGCCATGCCCTGGTTTTTGGGGTTCCCCTGGTTTTTGGGGTTCCCATTTTTGGGGTTCCCATGTTTTTGGGGTCCCCCGCTGTTTTTGGGGTGTCTCACCTGTGCGGCCATGCCCTGGTTTATTTTTGGGGTTCCCCCCCCGTTTTTGGGGTGTCTCACCTGTGCGGCCATGCCCTGGTTTATTTTTGGGGTTCCCCTGGTTTTGGGGTTCCCATTTTTGGGGTTCCCATTTTTGGGGTGTCTCACCTGTGCGGCCATGCCCTGGTTTTGGGGTTCCCATTTTTGGGGTTCCCATTTTTGGGGTGTCTCACCTGTGCGGCCATGCCCTGGTTTTGGGGTCCCCCCGGTTTTTGGGGTGTCTCACCTGTGCCGCCATGCCCTGGTTTATTTTTGGGGTTCCCCCCCTGTTTTTGGGGTCCCCCCCATTTTTGGGGTGTCTCACCTGTGCCGCCATGCCCTGGTTTATTTTTGGGGTCCCCCCCGTTTTTGGGGTCCCCCCCGTTTTTGGGGTTCCCATTTTTGGGGTCCCCCCATATTTTTGGGGTGTCTCACCTGTGCGGCCATGCCCTGGTTTATTTTTGGGGTTCCCCGGTTTTTGGGGTCCCCCCCGGTTTTTGGGGTGTCTCACCTGTGCTGCCATGCCCTGGTTTATTTTTGGGGTTCCCATTTTGGGGTCCCCCCCATATTTTTGGGGTGTCTCACCTGTGCGGCCATGCCCTGGTTTTGGGGTCCCCCCCGGTTTTTGGGGTGTCTCACCTGTGCGGCCATGCCCTGGTTTATTTTTGGGGTTCCCCTGGTTTTGGGGTTCCCATTTTTGGGGTCCCCCCTGTTTTTGGGGTTCCCCCCCGGTTTTTGGGGTGTCTCACCTGTGCTGCCATGCCCTGGTTTATTTTTGGGGTTCCCATTTTTGGGGTCCCCCCCGTTTTTGGGGTGTCTCACCTGTGCGGCCATGCCCTGGTTTGTTTTTGGGGTCCCCCCATATTTTTGGGGTGTCTCACCTGTGCTGCCATGCCCTGGTTTATTTTTGGGGTTCCCATTTTTGGGGTGTCTCACCTGTGCGGCCACGCCCTGTTTTTGGGGTCCCCCCCGGTTTTTGGGGTGTCTCACCTGTGCTGCCATGCCCTGGTTTTGGGGTTCCCCCCCGGTTTTTGGGGTTCCCCCCCGGTTTTTGGGGTTCCCGTTTTTGGGGTGTCTCACCTGTGCGGCCATGCCCTGGTTTATTTTTGGGGTTCCCCCCATGTTTTTGGGGTTCCCATTTTTGGGGTCCCCCCCGGTTTTTGGGGTGTCTCACCTGTGCGGCCATGCCCTGGTTTTTGGGGTTCCCATTTTTGGGGTCCCCCCCCGGTTTTTGGGGTGTCTCACCTGTGCCGCCATGCCCTGGTTTATTTTTGGGGTTCCCCCCATGTTTTTGGGGTTCCCATTTTTGGGGTTCCCATTTTTGGGGTGTCTCACCTGTGCGGCCATGCCCTGGTTTATTTTTGGGGTTCCCATTTTTGGGGTTCCCCCCATATTTTTGGGGTGTCTCACCTGTGCGGCCATGCCCTGGTTTTGGGGTTCCCCCCCGGTTTTTTGGGGTTCCCGTTTTTGGGGTGTCTCACCTGTGCGGCCATGCCCTGGTTTATTTTTGGGGTTCCCATTTTTGGGGTGTCTCACCTGTGCTGCCATGCCCTGGTTTATTTTTGGGGTTCCCCCCATTTTTGGGGTCCCCCCCGGTTTTTGGGGTGTCTCACCTGTGCCGCTGGTTTTGGGGTCCCCCCCATATTTTTGGGGTGTCTCACCTGTGCGGCCATGCCCATGAAGGCCCAGAGCCGGAACATCCTCAGGGGGACGCTCACCAGGTACTGCAGGGACAGGGACAGAATTTGGGGGGACCCCGGGGTTTTGGGGGGCTCCCCGAGAGTTTGGGGTTCCCAGCAGGGATTTTGGGGGGGCTGAGAGGAATTTTGGGGTTCCCAGCAGGGATTTTGGGGTTTTGAGTGGGAATTTTGGGGGTTCCTGGCAGGAATTTGAGGGGTCCCAGGGGGATTTTGGGGTCTCCCAATGGAAATTTTGGGGGACCCTCAGGATTTTGGGGTCTCCCAGATGGAATTTTGGGGGTTCTGAGTGGGGATTTTGGGGGGTTCCTACTGGAATTTTTAAGGGATCCCCAAGATTTTGGGGTGTCTGAGTGGAATTTTGGGGTTCCCCCGGGATTTTGGGGTCTCCCAGAAGGAATTTTGGGGGTTCTGAGCGGGGATTTTGGGGTCCCCAGTTGGATTTTGGGGGTTCCTGAGTGGGGATTTTGGGTTTCTCAGTGGGATCTTTGTGGCACCCCCGGATTTTGGGGTTCCCAAATGTGATTTTGGGGGTCCCAGTTGGATTTTGGGGTTTCTGGTTGGATTTTGGGGGGTTCCTACAGGAATTTTTAAGGGATCCCCGAGATTTTGGGGTTCCCAGCAGGGATTTTGGGGGGGCTGAATGGAATTTTGGGGTTCCCAGTCCCGATTTTGGGGGGTTTTGAGTGGGGATTTTGGGGTTCCTGGCAGGAATTTGAGGGGTCCCAGGGGCATTTTGGGGGGGTCCCAGTTGGATTTTGGGGGATTTTCTCGGGAATTTGAGGGGTTTTAGTTGGAATTTGAGGGGTTTTAGTGGGAATTTCGGGGTCCCCCCCAGATTTTGGGGTCCCCGGTTGGATTTTGGGGGAATTTTCTCAGGATTTTTGGGTTCCCACGGGGAATTTTGGGGTTTCCTGGTTGAATTTAGGGGAATTTTCTTGGGATTTTGAGGGTTTTTAGTGGGAATTTCGGGGTTTCCCGATGGGAATTTTGGGGTTTCCCCCCCCCGATTTTGGGGTTCCCAATGGGAATTTTGGGGGGATTTTCTTGGGAATTTGAGGGTTTTTAGTGGGAATTTCAGGGTTTCCTGATGGGAATTTTGGGGTTTCCCCTCAGATTTTGGGGTTTCCCCATGGGAATTTGGGGGTTTCTGGTTGAAGTTTGGGGGATTTTCTCAGGAATTTGGGGTGATTTTATCAGGAATTTGTGGGGTTTTAGTCAGAATTTGAGGGTTTTTAGTGGGAATTTTGGTGTTTCCCCCCTGATTTTGGAGTTTCCCCATGGGAATTTCGGGGTTTTCCCCCCACATTTTGGGGTTCCTGGTTGTATTTTGTTGGATTTTCTTGGGAATTTGGTTGTTTTTTTGGTGGGATTTTGGGGTTCCCACTGGGAATTTTGGGTTCCCCGGTTGAATTTTGGGGAATTTTCTTGGGATTTTGAGGGTCTTTAGTGGGATTTTGGGACTTTTAGTCAGAATTTGAGGGTTTTTAGTGGGAATTTCGGGGTTTCCCGATGGGAATTTTGGGGTTTCCCCCCCCCGATTTTGGGGTTCCCAATGGGAATTTTGGGGGGATTTTCTTGGGAATTTGAGGGTTTTTAGTGGGAATTTTGGGGTTTCCCCCCCTGATTTCAGGGTTCCGGATGGGAATTTGGGGGTTTCTGGTTGAATTTTGGGGGATTTTCTCAGGAATTTGGGGTGATTTTATCGGGAATTTTTATGTTTTTTTGTGGGAATTTGAGGGTTTTTAGTCGGAATTTTGGGTTTCCCCCCCGATTTTGGGGTTCCCAATGGGAATTTTGGGGGGACTTTCTCAGGAATTTGAGGGTTTTTAGTGGGAATTTTGGGGTTTTCCCTCCCCGATTTTGGGGTTCCCGATGGGAATTTTGGGGGGATTTTAGTGGGAATTTGAGGGATTTTAGTGGGAATTTCGGGGTTTCCCCCCCAATTTCAGGGTCCCCGATGTGAATTTGGGGTTTCCCGATGTGAATTTGGGGTTCCCGATGTGAATTTGGGGTCCCCGCGGGGTTTTTGGGGCTCAGACCTCGTGGAAGAAGGCGGAAGCCAGGAACACGGCCGCCTGCGCCGCCCACTTGCTGACGCCCCTCCTGAGCATGGGCTTGTAGAAATGCCTGGGGAGCCCCAAAATCGGCACGGGGAGCCCCAAAAACGGGGGGACCCCGAAACAGCCCAGCCCCGAAAATCCCTGCCCAAAAAACTCAAAATATCCCCAAAAATCCCTGCCCAAAAAACCCAAATTATCCCCAAAAATCCCTGCCCAAAAAACCCAAATTAGCCCCAAAAAACCCAAAATATCCCCAAAAATCCCTGCCCAAAAAACCCCAAAATATCCCCAAAGGTCCCTGCCCAAAAAACCCCAAATTAGGCCCGAAAATCCCTGCCCAAAAAACCCAAAATATCCCCAAAAATCCCTGCCCAAAAAACCCCAAATCAGCCCCAAAAATCCCTGCCCAAAAAACCCCAAAAATCCCCAAAAATCCCTGCCCAAAAAACACAAAATATCCCCCAAATCCCTGCCCAAAAAACCCAAAATATCCCCAAAAATCCCTGCCCAAAAAACCCCAAATCAGCCCCAAAAATCCCTGCCCAAAAAACCCCAAAAATCCCCAAAAATCTCTGCCCAAAAAAACCCAAATCAGCCCCGAAAATCCCTGCCCAAAAAAACCCCGAAAATCCCCAAAAATCCCTGCCCAAAAACCCCAAAATATCCCCAAAAATCCCTGCCCAAAAAAACCCAAAATATCCCCAAAAATCCCTGCCCAAAAAACCCAAATTAGCCCCAAAAATCTCTGCCCAAAAAAACCCAAATCAGCCCCGAAAATCCCTGCCCAAAAAACCCAAAATATCCCCAAAAAACCCAAAAATCCCCAAAAATCCCTGCCCAAAAAACCCCAAATTAGCCCCAAAAATCCCTGCCCAAAAACCCCAAATATCCCCAAAAATCCCTGCCCCAAAAACCCCAAAATATCCCCAAAAATCCCTGCCCAAAAAACCCAAAATATCCCCAAAAATCCCTGCCCAAAAACCCCAAATTGGCCCCAAAAATCCCTGCCCAAAACAGCCCAGACCCGAAAATCCCTGCCCAAAAACCCCAAATTATCCCCAGAAATCCCTGCCCAAAAAACCCAAAATATCCCCAAAAATCCCTGCCCAAAAAACCCAAAATATCCCCAAAATCCCTGCCCAAAAAATCCAAAATATCCCCAAAATCCCTGCCCAAAAAACCCCAAATTATCCCCAAAAATCCCTGCCCAAAAAACCCCAAAATATCCCCAAAAATCCCTGCCCAAAAAACCCCAAAAATCCCTGCCCAAAAAACCCCAAATTAGCCCCAAAAATCCCTGCCCTCAAAATGCACAAATTCCTCCCCAAATCCCCTCAAAATCCTCCCCAAATTTCTCCTCAAACCCAAAAATCCCCCTAAAAACTCCCCAAAACCCCAAATTCCTCCCAAATTCACCACAAAATCCCCCTTCAATCCACCCAAAACCTCCAAATTCCCCCAAATTCCTCCCCAAAACCCCAAATTCCTCCCCAAAAACCCCAAATTCCACCCCCAAAACCCCAAATTCCTCCCCAAAATCCCCCTTCAATCCACCCAAAATCCCCCAAATTCCCCCCAAATTCCTCCCAAAAACCCCAAATTCCTTCCCAAAAACCCCAATTCCACCCCCAAATTCCACCCCCAAAACCCCAAATTCCACCCAAAAGCCCCAAATTCCCCCCAAATCCCCCCTCAAACTCCACAAAACTCTGAATTTCTCCCTGAATTCCCCCCAAAACCCCAAATTTCCCCAAAATCCTCCCAAAATTCCCCCTAAAACCCGAAATTCCCACTCAAACCCCCCAAATCCCCTCAAATCCCCCCAAAACCCCCAAATTCCCCCAAAAAAATCCCAAATTCCTCCCAAAAAACCCCAAATTCCCCCCAAAACGCCAAAAATCCCCCCAAAACCCCAAATTCCCTGAAATCTGACCCCAAATCTGACCCCAAATCTCCCCAAATTCCTCCTCAAACCCCCCCAAAATCCCCAATTAAAAGCTCCAAATTCTCCCCAAAACTCCCCTAAAAACCCCCAAATTCCTCCCCAAAAAACCCCACATTTCCCCCAAATTGCTCCCCAAAAACCCCAACTCCACCCAAAACCCCCAAATTCCACCCAAAAAACCCCAAATTCCCCCAAATTCCTCCTCAAAATCCACCCCAAATTCCCCCAAAAAACCCCCAAAACCCCAAATTCCACCCAAAAACCCCCAAATTTCTCCAAATTCCTCCCCAAATTCCTCCCAAAACCCCAAATTCCACCCGAAATCCCCCAAATTCCTCCCCAAAAAACCCCAAATTCCCCCAAATTCCTCCCCAAATTCCTCCCCAAAAACCCCAAATTCCACCCAAAAATCCCGAATTCCCCCAAATTCCCTCCCCAAATTCCACCCAAAACCCCAAATTCCCCCAACTTCCTCCCCAAAACCCTAAATTCCACCCCAAAACCCCCAAATTCCCCAAAATTCCACCCAAAAACCCTAAATACCTCCCCAAAATTCCACCCAAAACCCCCAAATTCCTCCCCCAAAACCCCAATTTCCCCCAAATTCCTCCCCCAAACCCCAAATTCCTCCCCAAAAAACCCCAAATTCCACCCCAAATTCCCCAAATTCCCCCGAATTCCACCCCAAAACCCCCAAATTCCTGCCCCCAAACCCCAGATTTCCCCAAATTCCTCCCCAAAATCCCCAATTCCTCCCCAAAAACCCCAAATTCCACTCGAAATCCCACAAATTCCTCCCCAAAAACACCCAAATTTCCCCAAATTCCTCCCCAAATTCCTCCCCAAAAACCCGATTTCCCCCAAATTCCTCCCCAAAACCCCAAATTTCACCCCAAACCCCAAATTCCACCCAAATTTCCCCAAATTCCACCCAAAAAACCCCAAATTTCCCCAATTCCTCCCCAAATTCCCCCAAATTCCCCAATCCCCACCTGAGGCACCATTTGTGCACGGGGATGTTCCAGTTCTGCCAGAAGTAGGTGACGGACTCGGAGTTCCTGAGGGGAAAAAATGGGGATCAGGGACCCCAAAAACACCCAAAATCACCCCAAAAATCACCCAAAAATCATCCCAAAATCACCCCAAAAATCACCCCAAAATCACCCCAAAATCACCCCAAAAATCATCCCAAAAATCCCCCAAAATCCCGAATTCCCCCCAGCAGTGACGGACTCAGAGTTCCTGAGGGGAAAAAATGGGGATCAGGGACCCCAAAAACACCCAAAATCAGCCCAAAAATAATCTCAAAATCACCCAAATCACCCCAAAAATCACCCCAAAAACACCCCAAAAATCATCCCAAAAATCACCCCAAAATCCCCCCAAATCCCCAAAAATCCCCCCAAAATCCTCAATTCCCCCCAGCAGTGATGGACTCAGAGTTCCTGAGGGAAAAACGGGATCAGGGACCCCAAAACCACCCAAAATCACCCAAAAATAATCCCAAAATCACCCCAAAAATCATCCCAAAAATCATCCCAAAATCAGCCCAGAAACCCCCCAAAATCACCCCAAAAATCACCCCAAAAATAATCCCAAAATCACCCCAAAAAATCCCCAAAAAATCATCCCAAAAATCACCCAAAAATCACCCCAAAATCATCTCAAAATCTCCTAAAAATCCCCAAAAATCCCCTAAAAATCACCCAAAATCCCCTAAAAATCCCCAAAAATCCCCCCCAAATCACCACAAAAATATCCAAAACTCCCCCAAAAATAATCTCAAAATCCCCTAAAAATCACCCCAAAAATCCCCCAAAATCACCCAAAATCCCCCCAAAATCCCCAATTCCCCCAGCAGTGACGGACTCTGAATTCCTGAGGGGAAAACGGGATCAGGGACCCCAAAATCCACCCAAAAATCCCCCAAATCCACCCAAAAATCACCCCAAAAATCACCCTCAAAAACCACCCCCAAATCACCACCAAAAATCCCCCAAAATTACCCCAAAATCATCTCAAAATCCCCTAAAATCACCCCAAAATCACCACAAAAATCATCCCAAAATCACCCCAAAATCACCCCAAAATCATCTCAAAATCTCCTAAAAATCCCCCAAAAAATCCCCTAAAAATCACCCAAAATCCCCAAAAAATCCCCTAAAAATCACCCAAAATCCCCAAAAATCCCCCCCAAATCACCCACAAAAATCATCCAAAACTCCCCCAAAAATAATCTCAAAATCCCCTAAAAATCACCCCAAAACTCCCCCAAAAATAATCTCAAAATCCCCTAAAAATCACCCCTAAAATCACCCCAAAATCACCCCAAAAATCCCCCCAAATCCCCAATTCCCCCCAGCAGTGACGGACTCTGAGTTCCTGAGGGGAAAAAGGATCAGGGACCCCAAAATCATCCAAAATCACCCCAATAATCACCCCAAAATCAGCCCAGAAACCCCCCAAAATCACCCCAAAAATCACCCCAAAAATCACCCCAAAAATAATCCCAAAATCACCCCAAAAATCCCCTAAAAATCACCCCAAAACCACCCAAAATCACGCCAAAATCATCTCAAAATCTCCTAAAAATCCCCCAAAAAATCCCCTAAAAATCAGCCAAAATCCCCCGAAAATCCCCAAAAATCCCCCCCAAATCACCACAAAAATATCCAAAACTCCCCAAAAATAATCTCAAAATCCCCTAAAAATCACCCCAAAAATCCCCCAAAATCATCTCAAAATCCCCCCAAAATCCCCAATTCCCCCAGCAGTGACGGACTCAGAGTTCCTGAGGGCAAAAAGGGATCAGGGACCCAAAATCACCCCAAAAATCCCCAAATCCACCCAAAAATCCCCCCAAAATCACCCTCAAAAACCATCCCCAAATAATCCCAAAAATCCCCCAAAATTACCCCAAAATCATCTCAAAATCCCCTAAAAATCACCCCAAAAATCACCCCAAAAATCACCCCAAAAATCATCCAAAATTCCCCCCAAAAATCCCCCAAAATAATCTCAAAATCCCCTAAAAATCCCCCCAAAAATCCCCCCAAAATCCCCTAAAATCAACCCAAAATCCCCTAAAAATCACCCCAAAAATCACCCCCAAATCACCCCCAAATCTCCCAAAATCCCCCCAAAATCCCCAATTCCCCCAGGCAGTGATGGATTCCAAGATCCTGAGGGCAAAAAAGGATCAGGGACCCCAAAATCACCCAAAAATCACCCCAAAAATCCCCTAAATCACCCCCAAAATCACCCAAAAATCCCCTAAAATCACCCCAAAATCCCCTAAAATCACCACAAATTCATCTCAAAATCACCCCAAAAATCACCACAAAATCACCCAAAATCACCCCAAAAATCACCGAAAATCACCCCAAAAAATCATCCCAAAAATCACCCCAAAATCACCCCAAAAACCCCCTAAAATCCCAAATTCCCCAAAAGTTCCCCCAAAAATGCCCCAAAAATCCCAAATTCCCCCAACCAGTGACAGATTCTGAATTCCTGAGGGCAAAAAGGCTTCAGAGACCCCAAAATCCCCCAAAATCACCCCATAAAATCATCCAAAAATCACCCCAAAATTACCCCAAAATCACCCAAAATCCCCTAAAATCCCAAATTCCCCAAAATCCCCCCAAAATCCCCAATTCCCCCAGCAGTGACGGACTCTGAGTTCCTGAGGGGAAAACGGGATCAGGGACCCCAAATCCCCCAAAAATCCCCAAATCCACCCAAAAATCACCCCAAAAATCATCCAAAAAATCCCCTAAAAATCCCCCAAAATAATCTCAAAATCCCCTAAAAATCCCCCCAAAAATCCCCCCAAAATCCCCTAAAATCAGCCCAAAATCACCCAAAAAATCCCCCCCAAAATCCCCAATTCCCCCCAGCAGTGATGGACTCTGAGTTCCTGAGGGGAAACGGGATCAGGGACCCCAAAAATCATCCAAAATCACCCCAAAAACACCCCAAAAATCATCCAAAAAATCATCCCAAAAATCATCCAAAATCACCCCCAAATCCCCTAAAATCAGCCCAAAATCCCCCCAAAAATCACCCCAAAATCCCCAATTCCCCCCAGCAGTGACGGACTCGGAGTTCCTGAGGGGAAAAAGGGGATTAGGGACCCCAAAACCACCCAAAATCATCCCAAAATCACCCCAAAAACACCCAAAAATCATCCCAAAAATCATCCCAAAATCCCCCCCAAATCCCCTAAAATCACCCCAAAATGCCCCCAAAAATCCCCCCCCAAAATCCCCAATTCCCCCCAGCAGTGACGACTCGGAGTTCCTGAGGGGAAAACGGGATCAGGGACCCCAAAATCACCCCAAAAATCAGCCCAAAAATCACCCCCCAAAATGCCCACCAAAATCCCCCAAAATCCCCTAAAATCACCCCAAAATCACCACAAAAATTATCTCAAATCCCCAAAATCCCCCCAAAATCCCCCCAAAATCCCCCAAAAATCCCCCCAAAAATCCCCCCAAAAATCCCCCCAAAAATCCCCTCAAAATCCCCCCAAAATCACCCCAAAATCACCACAAAAATCACCCCAAAAATCATCCAAACCCCCAAAATCCCAATTCCCCCAGCAGTGACGGACTCGGAGTTCCTGAGGGGAAAAAACGGGGATCAGGGACCCCAAAACCACCCAAAATCACCCCAAAAATCACCACAAAAATCATCCAAAAAATCCCCAAAAAATCCCCCAAAATAATCTCAAAATCCCCTAAAAATCCCCCAAAAATCCCCCAAAACCACCCAAAATCACCCCAAAAACCACCCCAAAATCACCACAAAAATCACCACAAAAATCACCCCAAAATCCCCTAAAATCACTCCAAAATCACCCAAAAAATCATCCCAAAATCCCCAATTCCCCCCAGCAGTGACGGACTCGGAGTTCCTGAGGGAAAACGGGATCAGGGACCCCAAAATCACCCAAAATCACCCCAAAAATAATCCCAAAATCACCCCAAAAATCACCCCAAAAATCATCTAAAAATCACCCCAAAAAATCATCCCAAAATCTCCCCAAAAAATCCCTCAAAATCATCTCAAAATCCCCTAAAAATCCCCCCAAAATCACCTCAAAAATCACCTCAAAAATCAGCCCAAAAATCCCCAAAAATCCCCCCCAAATCACCCCAAAAATCATCCAAAACTCCCCAAAAATAATCTCAAAATGCCCTAAAAATCCCCCCAAAAATCACCCAAAACCCCCCAAAAATCCCCAATTCCCCCAGCAGTGATGGACTCTGAATTCCTGAGGGGAAACGGGATCAGGGACCCCAAAATCCCCCAAAAATCCCCCAAATCCCCCCAAAAATCACCCCAAAAATCACCCTCAAAAACCACCCAAAATCACCCCCAAATTACCCCCAAAAACCACCCCAAAACCACCCAAAAATTCCCCCAAAATCCCCCCAAAAAATCCCCAAAATGCTGAATTTTGCCCGAAATTGCCATTTTTTTCCCCAAATTTCGGGTTTTTTTCCCCAAACTGCCGTTTTTAGCCCCAAACTCTCTGATTTTACCCCAAATTTCCATTTTTCCCCCCAAAATTTCCATTTTTTCCCCAAATTTCCATTTTTGCCCAAAATCCCCATTTTTCCCCCAAATTTCCATTTTTCTCCAAACTGCCGAGTTTAGCCCCAAACTGTCTGATTTTCCCCAAAATTTCCATTTTTTCCCCAAAATTTCCATTTTTCCCCCAATTTCCATTTTTGCCCAAAATTGCCGTTTTTTCCCCCAAAATTTCCGTTTTTTTCCCCCAAACTGCCGAGTTTAGACCCAAACTGTCTGATCTTACCCCAAAATTTCCATTTTTGCCACCAAAATTTCCGGTTTTTTTCCCCAAAATTTCCATTTTTCCCCCCAAATTTCTGGTTTTTTTCCCCAAAATTCTGTTTTTGCCCAAAATTGCCATTTTTTCCCCCAAAATGCCGCATTTTCCCCCAAACTGCTGCGTTTAGCCCCAAACTGGTTTTCCCCCAAATTTCCATTTTTTGCCGCCAAAATTTCCATTTTTTCCCTCAAATTTCCATTTTTTCCCCCAATTTCCTTTTTTGCCCAAAATTGCCATTTTCCCCCCCAAATTTCCATTTCTTTCCCCCAAACTGCCAAGTTTAGCCCCAAACTGTCTGATCTTACCCCAAATTTCCATTTTTCCCCCAAATTTCCATTTTCTCCCCCAAATTTCCAGTTTTTCCCCGAAATTTCCGTTTTTGCCCAAAATTGCCATTTTTTGCCCCAAAATTTTCGTTTTCCGCCAAACTGCCAGTTTAGCCCCAAACTGTCGGAATTTCCCCGACATTTCCATTTTTGCCGCCAAAATTTCCATTTTTTTCCCCCTGAAATTTCCATTTTTTTCCCCAAAATTTCCATTTTTTTCCCCCGAAATTTCCGGTTTTTTTCCCCAAATTTCCATTTTTTGCCCAAAATTGCCATTTTTCCCCCCAAATTTCTGGGGGTTTTGCCCCAAATTTCCATGTTTTGCCCAAAACTGCCATTTTTCCCCCCAAATTTCCATTTTTGCCCAAAACTGCCATTTTTCACCCAAAACTGCTGGTTTTTTTCCCCAAAATTCTGGGTTTTTTTCCCCAAAATTCCATTTTCCCCCCAAATTTCCAATTTTTCCTGAAATTTCCATTTTTGCCCAAAACTGCCACTTTTCGCCCCAAATTTCCATTTTTACCCAAAATTGCCGTTTTTCGCCCCAAAATGCCGCGTTTTGCCCCAACCTGTCGTGTTTAGCCCCAAAATTTCCATTTTCCCCCCCCAAATTTCCAGTTTTTCCCCGAAATTTCCATTTTTGCCTAAAATTCCCATTTTTTCCCCCAAATTTCCGGGTTTTTTTCCCCAAACTGCCGAGTTTAGCCCCAAACTGCCGTTTTTCCCCAAAATTTTCATTTTTCCCAAATTTCCATTTTTGCCCAAAATTGCTGGTTTTTGCCCCAAACTGTCTGATTTTACCCCAAATTTCCATTTTTGCCCAAAACTGCCGTTTTTCACCCCAAAACCGCTGGTTTTTTCCCCAAAATTTCTGGGTTTTTTTCCCCAAAATTTCCATTGTTTTCCCCCAAAATTTCCGGTTTTTTTCCCCAAAATTTCCATTTTTTTTCCCCCAAAACTTCCATTTTCCCCCCAAATTTCCAATTTTTCCCCGAAATTTCATTTTTGCCCAAAACTGCCATTTTTCACCCCAAAACCGCTGGCTTTTTCCCCCCAAAATTTTCCATTTTTGCCCCCCAAATTTTCCATTTTTCCCCCCCAAATTTTCCATTTTTCCCCCCAAAATTTCCATTTTTTCCCCAAATTCCCATTGTTCCCCAAAATTTCCATTTTTTCCCCAAATTTCCACTTTCCCCCAAACTGCCATTTTTCACCCCAAAACTGCTGTCTTTTCCCCAAAATTTCTGGGTTTTTTTCCCCCAAAATTTCGGTTTTTTTCCCCAAAATTTCTGGGTTTTTTTCCCCAAATTTCCATTGTTCCCCCAAATTTCCATTTTTGCCCAAACTGCCATTTTTCACCCCAAAACCGCTGGTTTTTTCCCCAAAATTTCTGGGGTTTTTTCCCCAAAATTTCCATTTTTCCCCCCCAAAATTTCCATTTTCCCCCCAAAATTTCCATTTTTTTCCCCCGAAATTTCCATTTTTTTCCCCCAAAATTTCCATTTTTTTCCCCCAAAATTTCCGGTTTTTTTCCCCAAATTTCCATTTTTGCCCAAATTTCCATTGTTCCCCCAAATTTCCATTTTTGCCCAAAACTGCCGTTTTTCACCCCAAAATTTCCATTTTTTGCCCAAAACTGCCGTTTTTTCCCCTGAAATTTCCATTTTTTTCTCCAAATTTCCGTTTTTCCCCAAATTTTCTGGTTTTTCCCTAAAATTTCCATTTTTTTCCAAAATTGCTGTTTTTCGCCCCAAACTGTCTGATTTTCCCCCACATTTCCATTTTTTCCCCAAAATTGCCATTTTCCCCCCAAATTTCCAATTTTTCCCTGAAATTTCCATTTTTGCCCAAAATTTCCATTTTTCGCCCCAAAATGCCGCATTTTGCCCCAAACTGGTTTTCCCCCAAATTTCCATTTTTTTCCGCCTAAATTTCCACTTTTTCCCCCAAAATTTCCATTTTCCCCCCAAATTTCCATTGTTCCCCCAAATTTCCATTTTTGCCCAAAACTGCCATTTTTCACCCCAAAACCGCTGGCTTTTTCCCCAAAATTTCTAGGTTTTTTTTCCCCAAAAATTCCATTTTCCCCCCCAAAATTTCCATTTTCCCCCCAAAATTTCCATTTTTTTCCCCCAAAATTGCCATTTTTCCCCCCAAAATTTCCGTTTTTTCCCCCAAACTGCCGAGTTTAGCCCCAAACTGTCTGATTTTCCCCCACATTTCCATTTTTTGCCGCCAAAATTTCCATTTTTTTTCCCCAAAATTTCCATTTTACCCCCCAAATTTCTGGGTTTTTTCCCCAAATTTCCGGTTTTGCCCAAAATTTCCATTTTTCGCCCCAAACTGGTTTTCCCCCAAATTTCCATTTTTTGTCCCCAAAATTTCCATTTTTTGTCCCCAAAATTTCATTTTTTCCCCCAATTCCCATTGTTCCCCAAAATTTCCATTTTTCCCCAAATTTCCAATTTTTCCCCGAAATTTCCATTTTTGCCCAAAACTGCCATTTTTCACCCCAAAACTGCTGGCTTTTTCCCCAAAATTTCTGGGGATTTTTTTCCCCAAAATTTCCATTTTTCCCCAAAATTTCCATTTTCCCCCAAATTCCCTTTTTTCCCCAAATTTCCATTTTTGCCCAAAACTGCCATTTTTTGCCCCAAACTGTCTGATTTTACCCCAAATTTCCATTTTTTGCCTGAGATTCCATTTTTTTTGCCCAAAATTTCAATTTTTTTCCCAAAATTTCCAGTTTTCCCCCAAATTTCCATTCCCCCAAATTTCTGTTTTTGCCCAAAATTGCCCGTTTTTCGCCCCAAACTGCCGAGTTTAGCCCCAAACTGTCTGATTTTACCCCAAATTTCCATTTTTTTTCCCAAAAATTTCCATTTTTCCCCCCAAAATTTCCATTTTTTCCCCTAAATTTCCATTTTTCCCCCCCAAAATTTCCATTTTTTCCCAAAAATTTCCATTTTTTCCCCCCAATTTCCATTTTCCCCCCAAAATTTCCATTTTTCCCCAAATTTCCAATTTTTCCCCGAAATTTCCATTTTTGCCCAAAACTGCCGTTTTTCACCCCAAAACCGCTGGCTTTTTCCCCAAAATTTCTGGGTTTTTTTCCCTCAAATTTCCGTGTTTTTTCCCCCAAATTTTCCATTTTTCCCCCAAAATTTCCATTTTTTCCCCCCGAAATTTCCGGTTTTTTTCCCCAAAATTTCCATTGTTCCCCCAAATTTCCATTTTTGCCCAAAACTGCCATTTTTCACCCCAAAACCGCTGGCTTTTTCCCCAAAATTTCCATTTTTGCCCCCCAAAATTTCCATTTTTTCCCCCCCAAATTTCCATTTTTTCCCCAAAATTTCAATTTTTTTCCCCCCAAAATTTCCATTTTTGCCCCCAAAATTTCCATTTTTTCCCCCCAAAATTTCCATTTTTGCCCCAAAATTTCCATTTTTCCCCAAAATTTCCATTTTTTTCCCCCTAAATTTCCATTTTTTTCCCAAATTTCCATTTTTGCCCAAAATCTCCGTTTTTCCCCCCAAACCCCCGTGTCCCTCTCACCACCAGTCCCGGTAGAACTCGCGGTCCCCGAACTGCAGCAGCTCGGCCACGGCGTTGAGGCAGGAGTGGAAAAACCAATAGAAAAACATCAGCC